TTTGCTTCTGGCCGTATTATAAATGACTGCACCGTATTCCATTTTTGCTAGTATAATTGCTTTATATATAGTAATGAGGCTATTTTTATTATTCGTTTGTAGTTATAAAATTATGATATTAAACTCAATTTAACGTTTTATTTAAACGCTTGAAAAAACACAATATAACGAAAATGCGTGTAGTTTGAAAATATTTAAAATTAAAATGATTTAAAAGATACAATTTTGTTGCTAAAGACAAAAAAAATAATACGATTAAAAAGTAATTTGTTCCACCAAATAAATTTATTATAAATATTATTATAATAATTTACATAATAACTAAAAGTCTTTTTAATTACACATAATAATCTTAAGGTCAATCACATCATAATATAACATTTTCTGATATAAATATTATAACTATACATTTAAAAAACGTGGAAGGTATATTATATCAATGCAACTATATTCAGTATTGACAATAATTATTATTAATTCCACTTACACTAAATACAGACACTATACCTACATAATATTTTAATAAAGTAGCGTGTATGCATACAATATCGAGTATGTACAACGACAGATATTGAATAAAATGAAGTTAATTGAATTTTAAATAAATTACGGTATAAATATTTTCATGAAATTATACAACTTTACGAATAGTAAAATACATCGTGATGAGACACAAAACAAATTTCACGACAATTAGGTGAAAAATATACCCAACATATACATTCTACAAATATGTTTGTTATGTACAGTTATAATATTTCCGTTTAGGACGACCGAGGTTTGAATTACCTACACGAATAGTAGGAACAGTTCGTATACTACTAACATCAGTAATGCCACCAAAAAGGACATCAACGTGTAGTGAATCATATACAATCTGAAAACACAAATTATTGCAACATAATCATAAATAATAATAATAGTCTGCAAATACTCGCGGTAAAAAAAAACAAATAACGACCGATTGGCTGTCAGACACTGTGTAATATTATTATACTCACTTTTTATTTCGTTTTATCGCTTCCGGTATCGTGTCTATTGAATCTTTCACGATGTACAGTCGAATGCCCAAAACGTGGTTTTTGAAATACTCGTTCCAATCTAATTTGGTCATGTCGAACCTAAATAGGGACTGGTCCAGTTTTGACATCTTTTTCATCAGCGATGTCGTGTTGTTGTCGTGGAACATCCACGACTGTAGGGCGAAGTACGCTACGACTTCGGAAAATTTGTGCATTTTCTTGTATGCGTCCATTAATCTGTGAAAATTGAAAATCACTTGTAGGCAATATACGAGAGTCAATATAAAACGATGATAGGTCGTTGAGCAGAAGCGCGTTATTTTGGGTCATAATATATTATAGCGTTATATTTATATTTTTTGTCATTGTGTACTTACTGTGGCTTTTTTCCCATCAACTTGGCCAGGGAATCGATGAAGAACGCGGGTAAGATGTGGAGAAGAAAACATAAGATTGTATATTCGTATTTATTTTTGGAAAGCCTCAACATAATTGGCCAAATCTATATGTATAAAAAGATAAAATAAACGATGATTTTCGTTTGGTTATAGGTATAAACTCCGTCCAATAAAATATGATGATAACCATTTTTGACAAAATATTATGTTAGGTATGATTTATGTAAAAACGTCTTCGGAGCACTCACCGCTTTTATGGAGGGCGATTGGAGTCCATATTTTTTGTTGTAGATTGAAAATTCTTTCCATGTTAAAGGGTTGGAGCTTGAAGAAACCACATTGTAAATTGGTGGCACGTACTGTTCCTCATTCAAACCGTCTGCTTCAACTTCATGATTGGAATTTTTATGCTGTTTCCTAAAACGTTTAGTAATGTATGTTTTAATCTATCATTACGGCATTACACGATTATGCTCAAAACATCCAAAATGTAAATCTACAATATAATATTAATTATTACTGAATTACTCGTAAGGTATTAGTGTAATATCACAACTTCGCAGCAACTAAACCTACACGTGATGTATTTATAAAACCATAACCTGCAACTATTATTTATTTACAATTATCGAATAAGTGCAAACCATTAAACCGATATGTGTGTATATCGTCTCGGTGGTTATAAAAAAAATTACTTATCGCGTAAATTTATTATTGAAATAATAATAATAATATTTGGAGCTAGGCTGAAAATCAATACAACTTTATGAACTTAATGGACTTAACTCTACTATCAACTTGCGTGCTTATAGCACTGTGAAAATCCGTCAAAATTTCAATAATTTAATAACTTTACCGACTGTTGTATACGAACAACATAATAATATGTACCTAACATGTAACCGAGAAGGCCCCTAATCATAGATGCAAATAGGAGGAAGATTTAGAGGCTATATCACCTCCAATTTCAAAATTAGCACCATCAAATAATGTTCATGTTTATGTAACAAAAACTTCTTCCTACAAAAAATAGAAAAAAAATTTGGGAAAAAATTTAGCTTAACACCCTTAGTTTTTTTTTTATTGAAATTG